GAACAAGAACAAATAACTTAATTCCTTTACAGCAAAACTAATGATGTTGGTTTGTCTTGATCTACTCCAATCTGAATGCTTTAGGAAATAATAAAATGAATGACACTTATTTAGAAAAGATATGGGAAGGTCTGCTATGAGCCTAGTTATTTCATCCAAGTTTGTCATGTCCTTAATAAGATGGGCTAATTAAATGTAGTAAAATGTAGCTATTTATAAAATACTAGGCTGAAATAATAATAAAATGCCTTTTAAACAGAGTATTTGGAAAATGTTCATCAGGTCTGTCCTATCAGCACTCATAGCGCCCATAGATATCATTGATCGTCAATAGTTCAACACGTTAATCCATTAGTAAATTCGTAAATTTGCATTAGATTTTTCCTTATAAAAGCTTGCCTCTTGTTGGATTTGAGAAAGCACTAGTATATCATAGAAGCTTCTTTACTTGGATGTTAGTTAGATATCATTTGTTGGCCAAATTTCATTTATTACTCTCATAAATATATTTGTTTCGTACATTTCCATAGTGACAAAATTATGATTAATGAGAAATTTCAAAAATAATAAATAATATTATATTACAGTCTGCAAAGCATATATGACATACTAGATGCTAGTTGATTTTAAGGCCTGATTGCCAATGCCGACATTCACTTGACTTATCAGCAGAAGCGTTTAAATAAGCTTGCTGTCCTGTATTTGAAAAGGCAACAGACGAAGAGCCTACTTCTGTAATTAAAGCAAGCGATGTAGCAGTTGTCCTTGTGGTTGATGGAGTCGAGAGTGTAGCAGATATAGTTGAAATATTTCTATCATTGCTTGCCACGGTTTTAGCAGGTGATTGCGAGTTTGAATGGTGACACTTCTGCCCGGACAGAGGTGGGAAACAGGAGGTAAAGAAGAACAATTGTTGTGTGTGTGGAACCGACTGACTGGTGACAACCTGGCGACCAGTTTCGTCCGTGGTGGTGCCTTCTGATGTCGCGTTTGTGATGTGGCTTTGATTTAATCTAGAAGCCGCAAAACCTGTTGCACCACAGCGAGCCGGCGTCAGCCATTGATTACAGGGTGGAAAGAGATAGGGCGCCTGAGGCAGCCCGAAATCGTGCCTGCTCATCAGCATCTGTTGCTGCTGCTGATGATGATGCTTATGATGAGGTTGGTAGAGAAAGAGGCCGGGAACTGCTTGAAGGAGCTGCTCAATCTCATGCTCTTTGCATTTACAGTTAAGCAGCTCGTTCAGCTCACAATCTAGCGTATCTTTCTCCCCCAACTCAACTGCTCTTGCTGCTATTTCTTCGTTCCCCGCTTCTGGATATTTGTATGACTGCATCCGTAGAGGTTCTGGTCTTGCTCTCTCGGCTTCTTCCAAGCATACAGCGCTGCAGTTGTCGTGCTGTCCACCGAACATGGAGCTACTACTGGGTCTGCAAGTGTTGGCCCCCTGCCTGCTGAGAAGATCGAAATCAACTCTTTTCACTTGGGCGTTCATGTCATCCTGGAGGTGGCTGGCTATTGTGAAGGGAAGCACGAGAAGAAGCCCCAAGGTTAAGCGCGGATGATGAGGAGGCAGACGATGTAAAATGGTATGGCAGAAGATTGGAGACGATTGTTTAAAACAGTATGCAGTTATGGCATAGCTCGTTTTAATTTGTTGCATTCAAGTTGCTTGAAGGTATGAGTTTGTGATACGTCAGACAGCAAAAAGATAAAATTATATAGTACGATTGAAGGGTTTCATGAAGTGAATGGATGAGCAAGCCAACGTAAAGCAAATAAAGCACAAGCGGAAGCAAAATAATGCATGCGATAAGAGGAATGAACCAAATAAAGGATAGATGGATGATAATATCACTTCGTGGCTGTGAAGATAGCATTTATGGGTTAATATGAAAATACATATTTAAACTTGGCAAAATTTACCGATGGTTTCAATTCAGAAAGAATCAATAGGCAGAAGGTGAATTTTAGAGAGTAGAGAAGCAACAAGAGTACAGGAAATTATCCATGAATGAGGCAGATATAAGTTAACACGAATGGGAACTCGCAAAGTTGGGTTGAGATTGAGCAAATGGGGCAATATGACAAATGATAATTGAAGAAAGTGGTATTGAAATAACTCGAGATGACGCACAAGAGAACATGCAGATGGGAATTGGGATCATAGTATAGGGAAAAACAAAAAGAAAATGGAGAATAAAAAACAAAATTTAATGAAAACCAATTTTAAATTGCATAATTATGTAGCTAAAAGCTAGGAATGATTTGTATTGTGCATGGGTTATAGTTATATAATCTAAAAGTCTCATGCTAGGCCTTGACATGAACCATGCGTTTTAGATAAATATGGCTTCAGCCAATTAGCAACCCTCGGCACAGTTAACTAAAAGAAAAAAACAAAAAAACATGAAGTCTTGAGTACTATGAGGGTCTATTGAACATGGCATCCTGTTCCATGATCGGTGACTTCTACCATCTAATGTTATCACCGGGTCAAATAGTACTCCATTAATCCTTTACTAAACTATTTAACTTATTCGATTTTGGATTATACTACTTAATCCTTAACGAATTCCACTCTCGTGAATATAATGAAAATGAAGCTTTGTGTTTAATAAATCTCTAGTTGTACTTCTT